CAAAAAAAGTTATTGAATCCATATGATGCTAGGAATCTTTCCATTCAAACAGTCCACTGCCAAAGCAGTCACTGTGGACCTGCAATGGTCTTCCGTTAGAAGAGTCTTCAGAGCTTCCACTGCCTTTTATTACTGTATTTGTTAAATCAGTTGATTAATGCAGTAGTAAAAAGTAGCTAGAGCCTTGTCTACATTAGAACACCCACTGGTGCTAGCTAGCACATATAATGAATACCTTTGAGCATAATTCCTAGCTATAGACAAGGATTGAACATCCTGATTCTCCTCCACAAACCAGCTGAAAATATAAGGCCCGGCTCCTGCAGTGACCTCTCCACAGATCCAATCTCATTATTATGTGGAACTCATTGAAAAACAATAGGCCTGTAAAAGTCCAAAAGATTAATCCTTTTGAGATTTGACACCCTTTCTACTTTTTGGTGGTGGTCTTTTGCTTTTTCTAGAGTGGTCTTGAGTAGGTGTAAGTTGTACACTTAACAGAGGAACGTGAAGAAGTATACTACCAGTGCAATTACATAGATTTAAATATGTAAAAAGCTTTGTAGACTACCTTGATGCACATAGGAAAGCATTGTCTGGTAACCAGAAAAGTAATTTTGCTGTTACTTTATTATAAATTTTAATTCACAATTCAGAACGTCAGCAAACTATATACCTCAGAACAAGGTGTTACTAGTTCTTAAAACAACCTTTCAGATGAAAGAATAATTATACTTCAGCTTGTTTCTTATCAGAAAGGCTCGCTCCAGAACTTAGAATTGTTTCACAGGCTGACATGGATTTAGATCTTTTAAAAATACATTTTGACATACACAGTTTGCTTTGTTGCAAAAGCAGCTTTATTAGAGTGATCGCTCCCATACCTACAATTTGCTGGTCTGATCCAACTCTGACACACGTTAATGTTCCAAGGTCAAACCTGAAAGGACTCATTAAGAAAAATATGATATTTCCATAATCAAGGGAAGACTTGCATGAAATGGAGAGAAAAATCAATTAATGCCAATGGAGGACAAGTAATATTATTTTTATAATTCACTTTTATACTTTATATCAAGATTCACTTTTATACTTTGTATCAAGATAAGCTGCACTTTCTGATGGAAATTGCAGGTCTGTTGATGCAAGGTAAATTTCTGTAGGTGCTTTTTTGTTTGTTAAAATCAAAACTTTATACAACATATGCATTATACGTACCCTTTTTGTTAGGGCTTTTGGTTCAAAGAGTGTACTATACAAAGTTTTGTTTCTAGTCTTAATTACATGCTTAGGAGGCCTGTACGTATTACCTTTAAAACCACAGAGGCTTTACTAATGTATTTATATAAGGATTGCTTTCCTTCCCCCCCCCCCCCCCCCCCCGAATAGAGTCTACATTTTGAGATATGAAGTCCAAAACACTGTGACTCTCATATACAAAGATTCAGCTAAGCGGAAATGGACCAAACTGACTTTATTCAGAATCTCACTGACTTCAACAAAAACTTTAAGTTCAGAGAAGCAAATCAGGCCAAATCACAGAAACGTCCAGGTAGTTATCAAAACAACGTGGAATGAACTTCTAATGAATGCAGAGGAATGAACTCAGCAAGGAGGAATTATACTTTCATCACACAGAAGAGTGCAGTTACGCACTGGTTCTCTGCTGCTTCAGCGTGGACTCACTCCTGACGTGCCTGTGCCCCGTGCAGCAGCAGGACCCAGAAGTGAGCTCTGCAGGGCCAAACACTGATAGAATATGAACTTGTGAAGGGGAGCAACCCAAAAGAGCGATGTGGAAGCCACCATTATGAGTTTGTGTTGTGGGACATGCAAACACTAAAGCCATTCAACTGTTCATAAATAGCTAAATAGAAAGAGCACAGGCTAAGGCACTCATTAAAGGCTAGCACAGGCTATCTGCATTCATTAAAATGTTGAAGCTGACACCAGTATAATGGTTTTTGTGGAATTTATAGCTTTTTGTATGGATTTGGCCTGGTGCAATTTCCACAAATGCCTCATCTGTCACAACTGCATACCCTCCCTTCTTTCCCCAACTGTACCTACTTCTCAAAGCAGAGCCAGAATGACAATGTTTTCTAACAAACACTAGAAGGCACAGAGGAGCAAGCTCTCTCCTCCATTTGGTCCATTTGCTTTCAGTTTACTGGAGGCCATTAAAGTGCCTTACACAAGATGGTCTGTTTCTCTGTAGAGAGGTACAGTCAATTTGCCAGTTTCCTTCAGATACAACCTCATTATAACCATATTTTAGCTGCTAGTTCTCAACTGTTTGTTGGCTGGTGTTTTTCTCCCTGTTCACCGTAGTTATGCTTGCTGTCAAAAACATTGAGTTTTGCAAACTATATAAATGATACCTGGTTTTACTACCAGTTTTAGGATATCAGTAAAACCTAACACTCAAAAAAAGCAGCTCATAACATGTTTGTTAGTGCTATCTCATAAGAGCAACCCTATCTTTAAAAAAAAATATTTTATAAAATATTTTCCAGCCTTTCCTGTCAAGTGCTGCAGAAAAGGGCAGGACAAATACTGGATGATACTAAAGATGAAAAACCACCACATACCCTCAGTGTAATTATAAATCCATTTCTACATAATTCATTATAAAATTAAAATGTAATTACGTAAAGCTTCCAGTCTGTACATTACTAAGAAGTTACAAATATTTTTATGTAGTGCCTACATTTTAAAAGATTGCTTTCTAACAGCTAGATATGTGGCAGATTTTGAATGTAAAAGTGAAACTTCTCATCTGTGGCCTTTTATTGAAAGCAAAATGATATTTTGCAGAATTAATTTACTGTATTTTTGAACAATATCTTTGAAAACTAAATGATACCAGCATAAAAGTTCTCTCAACCAGTTAAAAGGATATAAAAATGGATATGCTTTAAGTACAGACCTCCTAAGTATTTGGTAGCTTTGTTTAATGCATTCACAGTATGTCTATAATTTGTAAAAACGGATCAACGCCCAAGCGTCTTCTACCCAAATCATGTGTAGACCTTGATAGTGTAACACTTGTGTGAAATAAATTGTCAGCTGTTTCTTACTTCCACTACTGTAAATGCAAGGAAGAGTTTTCAGTCCTCTTCTCCTTGAGGATAAAAACAATGTACCAACAATAAAATGAATGACCAAAAAAATTAAGCCTCTTTTCTCTACAGAAGCCTTCTAGCAACATATTCTCAGCATAACGATAGCTAAAGTAGAGTTAGTTTTTAATATTCACCATTCAACCCATGAAGCATTTAAACCTACAGGGGCCTATCAAAGCAGTACATAAGCATTCTATAAAGCAACTAGCTTTACAGGGAAGGAAAAAGCGGAGGCAAGACAAATATACCTGCCTAATAAAATAAGCAAACCTGATCAATTTATTCATTAAACTCACAATTAAAAAACAGAGTACTCCTAAACACACTACAGGACAACCCGCAGTAACTTCTTCCAGATTTTAAGCTAAACAAACATGAATTCCAGCCTGAATATCTTAGCTTGAATTTGAGACCACTGATTCAAGATCTGTCACCTGATAGACTGATAAGTTATCAAATTTCTGCTTTTTATGAATACTCAAGACTATGATCAAGTCACATCTTTAAAGAGAGATTGAGACTATTTCATTGTAAGCTATTTTTTCCAGTCTTTTAATCATTTTATGATTTTTCTTGAATTGCTGACGCTGAACTAAATGCACGTGAGCAAGTGTACCAGTATCAAACTGAAAGGAAAGAGACTACATTTTATATATATATATATACACACACACACACACACACACAACTTGTTTAAACATGTTCTCTGGCCCACAGAGCATCTGTGATAGTTTTATCATTAGAAACATAGTAGACTTTGTGGACAGTGAGCTAAATCTAAAATCCTTCTTACATGAGCTTTTTTACAACACAGCTTCTTGTCCTCCTCTTCTCCATCCAATCATGTGAAGTCAAAATTTTTTCCACAGATGTATTATTTACACTTTGCCCATATTAAAACATATGACATAGCAAAATAAAATGGAAGAATTCCAAGACACCAAAGACCACCACATGGAAGAGGGTAAGTGATCATTACTTTGCCTTTTTTATAGATACGTACACATGAGCGTGGCAGTGCACATTATTACTTATATAAGCATTACAGATATTTTGCTCTTTACATATGGAAAAATGGTTTAACAAATAACAGAAACCATTAAAGCATCACCTTCTCTACTGTATAGCTTCTAATTTTTGTTACATACTACAAGAAAATCCCAAACTGGTTTCAATAAGTTTTAGATACAGATTTACCAGTTATCTGCCTTATTGCATAGACTGGGAATATCCTTTTGACAGCTCATGTAGGTCAGCTCCTCTCCAGCACAGCAGCTCCTTGGAAACCATCAATATACTCAAGTGAAAAGCAACCAGCAAAGATGCTGAACCCAAACTGAAAAAGACCGAGTTAAGCCCAAGTCCTTATTTAGCTTTTATACTGTTTTTTTTTTTTTAAAGCACTTAACAAAGTTAACGAGTTAACAGTTAGCGATTATTAAATCAAGAAACAATTTGTAGCAGTTATTTGCACACACAAATCAATTGTTTATTTACTATTTACAAGTATAAATACATTAATGCTACAGCTCTGCTGTCATGTTCTTCATTATCATTGCACCTTTGGTAAGGATAATGCACGACCTAAGTAAGGTGCCTTAGTCTTCCCAGGAAGATGTGCAATGACCCCCAAAATTTAACAAAAGCAAATATGGCAAATGTATGTCATAAGCAATACTTATATCATTCATAGTTCTATATATTTTTAGTACTGAAAACAACTGTACATTGAATTTGGATAATTTTGGTCTAACAGATCTACGATGTTTCTATTTGCAAAGAAATAATAGTTTATTTGGTCACAAGTCATTAATGCCTGCTCAGTTCAGTATTTTACAGCATCAACAGCTTTTGGCTTTGTAGAGAATGTTTCTATTATTTTTCCAAGTCACTCGTGGAGCCAGCGCCAGCAGATGCTGTCAATTGTCTGAATGTCGTCATTTCAGTTGCAAGAGAACCTTCAAAAAGAAAACGAATGCAATCAGAGTTTGATGAGACAAAAGGCTAAAATATTCTCAGAAATACAGCTTTATGCTTTCTGTTACAGTTACACTACAATATGAGACTGTATAAACACATCTTTCCTCTGGAAAATGCACCTCACAGCTACTATTTCTTCTAACAATTTTCTTCAGTGCTTACTGCACACAAACCACTCCTTAGTTCCTTGTGATTGAAAAAATAGAATGGTAATTCCAGATTGACTGGATTCACTTCACACAAAGCAGAACAGAGGGCTCCATTTTATAGAGTTAATGCCTCATTGCTCTCACACAGAAGTATAAGTATGGAATGACAACCTCCTAGAGCAGACCTTCAGGCAGAACACAAGGCATGTGGAAACTGCTGAAGTCTGGGCTGGAAAAATCCTTGTTTGCCAAGTGTAGAATTCAAGACAAGCTGTTTTTTTCTACTTGGTTTGGAGAAAAAAGTACAGGGAAGAGAAAGCTGTTGAGAAGTGCAGTTATTCAAAGAAAGCTGCACCTGTATCTGCATTAATACAGGTATCTCACTGGAAACAGGTAGTTACTCAGAAGTCTCACACCAGCCTCACTGAAGCAACAAGTAGACATAATATTTTGAACTACATAAGACACTAAAATTAACAGCACTATTATACCTTAGTATTTGATTCCAATAACTGTCAATCAATTATTTTCAGTTGTCATATAGCAAAGATTATTTTAGAAATGTTGATCTATAAATTGCAGCTATAGCTCTGTAACGTAACATAAAACATCTACAGAAAATCCCTATGCACTAAATAGTAAGAAGCAACTAGACGCTGCCAACTTCCAAACATATGTCAGCGCACCACTTTCACATCCATCTTACAGGATGAGAGAGAATCGTCTCACAGATAACTGACTTGACAAAAATTTGAAGTACATTTTTAGATTAAAAAACAAAAGTCTTGCTGCCCTTTTATAGAGCCAGAATGAATACAGATATGTTACTGAACAGGGAGGGTTTCCAGGACACATAGTTATCACCAAGGTGCAAGTCAGATGACACTTCTTCCCCTGACATTTTTTTTAATCCTCCTCAGTCTTTTCTATTAAGAAATTTGAGAAATCCCAAACAGAGTCACACTTGAAACATTCTTCTTGTGTTATAGACCTATTGACACTCTGTAATTTTCTTCCTGATTTACTGTGCCATGGAAATTATAAAGTATTTGATTTGAATCAAGCAACTCTGTGGTATGCATTCCCAGTCACTGATGTTTTGTGAAGTTGGGGGAATGGCAGAGTTCTCTCTCCAACCTTTCAAAATCCCACTCTCATCCGGCACTTTGTCATTTCATTTCCTTCTCCTCTTACTCTTGCAAGACACGTTAATACTGCTTTGAACAGAGAACTGTACTTATCAGGACTCTAACTACCTTCATAAAAATTCTCAACTACACTGTACTAAAAAAACCCTCAAATCTCTCAAAGAAACAAACTACTTTACATAGGCTGCTTTGACATAAGACTTTCTGTAACTCTAGAGTCAAAGGATCTGTTGCCAATGAATGATTTACTTCAGATTTTCAGCAGTTTTTAAACAATTTCAGTTAAAATAAAGTCAGTAAATGAGAGTTCAGTAAGAAAGGATGATAGCAGTGAAGTTTACCTTATTAGCAGCTTCCAATGCATTTATTAGGTTCTGTAATTCTTCCTTATCCATTTCTACAGAGATTGGTTTAATTTCACCATTTTCTCTCACATCCAAATCAAGATTGATAAGCGGCATTTGCAGCATGGAGATTTTATCACTGGAGAGAGCAAGCTGTGTAAGTTGATGAAACAAACAGAAGAGTGAAGGTGGAGCCATAAAGTTTTTAGCCTTTCATAATATCACACCTGCACTTTACACTGAAAGAGTACTATCCAAAGAAACATCAGCACGAAAGCACTAACTTCATACAGTTATCTCCGCAGCTGGTTTTTTTTTTTTTTTTAAAAACAAAATACCAACAACTCTCTTCAGAGCAACACATCTGTCAAAAGAATTTGTTAAAGTCAACAGAGGTTCTAAATTTTTGTGTTTTACATGATAAGGAACGAAGCATTTAAGCACGACTCTTAAAAAGCAAAGCAAATTTTGAAGCCACCTTACTCAAACAGTTCTGGTAATCAACAAGTGAGAAGGGTCTTTCAGGAGGGGCAGGTAGAGAAAAAGAGAACAGTTTCTGTGCAGTTTTCAACTCTACAACTGATCAAATACTATTTGTCAGATATACTATTTGACAAATAGGAATGAAGCGGATTATACAACAGTTGTGTGGGTTTTTTGTTTACTATTATGTCTATTCCAAGTTAGACTTTTAAAATGTATTAAATAGAGTACCAGGTGATGATACTGCAGGTCAGTTTCTGCACCCAGTTTTCTTAATATTGATCACTCTTCAAAATATTAATAAAATGTAATATCTCTAAGGTAGGATTCAATTAGAGTAAGTGAAAAACAATACTACAACCAGCTCAAACAAAAAAGAAGAGTGGTTTAAAAAAAATGCAGCCAACAGTTTAGACGTCTACCATAAGTTTGTATCATGAAATAGAAAGAAACCTCAAAAATTCTTCACTGGAAAAAGTTAAGAGAAACCACAAGTAACAAGAGTTCTCAAAATCTGGTTTATATTCCTGTCAGCAGTAAACACAGTTAGCAAGAGAGATCAAGGCTTGGTAACAGCTGATCTGAAGCACCATACGATGCCATGGCATCGGCTCTTCCAAAACCTTGTCTATTTAGGCATTGCTCTTTGATTTCCAAAGCTGTTTGCTACACAAATTATTCTTGTTGAGACAAAAAACTATTTCCTATTTAACAGCTTCCATGGACAGACAAAATAACATTACTTACATAGTTTACACTCTAAGTCTAAGATTCTCAGAGCTCAATTTAAAGCAGCAATGTCTTTGTAACCCCAGAACACCATCCAACCGTAGGCAGCATGCTTATTAGTAAAATAAGTTCAAAGAGAAATGATTTCCAACTAATTATTAAAGAATGGTTTAATGCAGGAATCTAAACATTTGAAGAGTCAGGGAATCTCATCGTGAGTTAGTGTAATACTGTTTATTTTAAGTAAACACATTCTTTTTTCATAGAGTAAAAATATTGCCTATTCAGGCCTCAAAATCATGAGATCAAATGAAATCGTCAGGTGTTCCTGAGTAACTTTCAATCTCCTTTTAGGAGAGAAATAATTTTGTATATTGTAGTATGGGGGGGGGGGGGGGTGGGGAAGATTTGTATTTATTTACTTACACAGATTTCTGGCAAGTCTTTGGCTTGTTACCATGAATGGGGGTTTCTGGTATCTATACAAATTGAGCCATGCCCCATGATGAGCTGGCCCACTACAGAGACCATATCAATAGCTACTGCTTCCTTGTGGAATACTTCTTCCTTAGGTATATTCAAACACCTCTGAAGAAATAGTCTCACCTTTAACTGCCAGTCAAAATCCTGCAGCTGGGCAGAAGAGATTGCATTTACTCTTTCTACTAGTGCATTCCTGATTTCTTCTTTTCTGCCTTTTAGACATTTTGTGATTGCTTCTTGATAGTTTGAATTTAACTCATTCATCTGTTGAACAGCCTGTAAATATCAAAATTGAGATTAAGACTGCTTTAATTATGAACCAAAGAAATAAGATATACCATACAAAATAGTTCCGTAGGTATCCAAGCTTCTATCTGGATAGCTGTTAACATTGGGCTTCATAACTTCATCTTACTCACACCGTTCTCAGTCGCCAATAGTTAGAGTCAGTATCTACCATGGCAATATAAATAATCATCATCATCTTGTTGGGCAGTAGTGCACAGCTGATACACAAGGTCATTTAAATGAAAAGAGGCCAAGGAACGGAGACTTTCTTGGCCTTCCTAAATGCCATGCTAAAACAAAAAGAAAAACTACACACAAACAGCACTGGTTTAATGCTGAGAGTTTTTGAATATCAGAGTGGAGGCAAACCACATTATTTTAGCTTACACAAACATACTAACTCACCCCTTATTCTATGGCTCCTTCTGTAGTTAGTAGTCTTGCTACTAGCAAGTATTCAAAATACTAGCAATGGGTAGAAGATGAGAATTAATGGAACAAGTTTACTGCAAAATTTAGACATATTGAAATGCCCTGAATTACAGTCCCTGTACTGCACTGTTTAAGCACTTACATACAGCCACTATTTTAAAACACTTCAATACAGTGGTAAAAAACAGAGTAAGCCAAACAAGAACCTATATTGGTTTCATTGCTGATGACACATATTTAATTCTGTGGTACATAAGATATCAATTTACATGTCTGAAACTGTATTTTAACAAATCAGTACTATTCAGTACATTTTAAAAAAGCATCCCATTTCACCTTCTCTTTTAAAAAGGTTTAGCATTACATCCTAAGTGCTGCTTGCTTTCTACCTCTCTGAAGCTATTCAGATTTAGCCTGTTACTATTCAAAAACTACATTAAAAAAAAAAAACTTTAGGATTGAATAAACCAGCAGGCTAATCACTCTAGTCTGATCCCTCAAAGTCAAACCCAGCTGTTGATGAGCCCTCACCTCTTCATCAGATATGTTTTTGCCAACTGTGCTTTTGAAATATGCCATTGTTTCTTCTAAAACCTCCATCCACTCCATCAAGTTCCAAATAGTACCATAATCCTGGTATCGAGGATATGCGCGGCCACATATGCCATCAACTATCTTATGAAGGAACTGAAAGAAACAAAGTGAAACCTAATTAAAACCATATTGCTACTGTAGTTAACCTACACCAGATGTGGGATTCAACAGGCAAATCAGTTATCACTCTTCTCTTTGCTGGGTACCGTCTCAATGCTCTCTCAGAGAGCTCCTGGAAAGCCATAAAGTAAAGAGGTAGTCTCTAAATACCAACCTTCCCCCTTCTTCCCCCAAATCAATTACCATACTTTGGCCACAGAAAGCACAATGTGGTTCAGATTCAGCTTGGACTTATTTTTGGTTTTGTGCACTGCTAGAATGTGCTTCCAAGCAGCAGGCTGCCACAACAAAAGGCAACTCAGTAGTCTCAGAGGCAGCCGGCTTTTCAGGGTGAGGAGCACAACCCATACAGCTGACCTCCAAGTCTGTGCGCCTGCGCATCTGCTCCCGTCTTCCCCTAGGCCTCCAGCATCAGCTCTTCCGTAGGTCTGATTTCCTGTCCCTCTGCAGCAATTTTCCTTTGAGCACCAGAGGGGGCTGGCTGCTACCTCACTGACGGGAAATCACCAGTTACTGGAGTCCCTCTGACAACAGCCGAGAGCTCTGGACAAGCAATCAGTCTCTCTAAACATCAGAGTAAAAAGCTCCGACTGGAGAGCTGCGCTGAGAAGAGCTCACCAGTATTCGCACTCACCTAAGCCAGGCGGGAGCAGCAAACCAAGCACGGCCATCGGCCGCTCGGTGCACTCCGAACATGCTCTGAACCCGCATTTTTGACCAAAACCCGCGGTTTTGGTTCCGCTTCCTTTCAGGAAGGCCCACAGACATGCGAGGGGGAGCATTATGCAGGCCGTAACCTACATGAGGCCTGAGGATAAACATCTCACTGCAGTCGAGCTCGGCCGCAGCACCTTTGCCCCCCCCTTACCAACACCGCCCTCCCTGCCTCTGGGGGGGAGGAGGGGG